CCCTCGGAGGGGCAGGCCGTGGTGGGCTCCGGGGATGCTCTTTGGCGATTTCTGGGAATTCGTGTCCTCACTGGCACCAGACTCGTTTCCGCAGGGGCTGCCCGGCCCCGGGTTGGAGTGAATACCCCTGCGCGTCTAATTTCCGGGGAAGCGGAGCACTCGTTTGCTCGGCTGACTTGCGGGGGGGTGAGGAGGGGAACGATCTCTGGGGGTATTCATTGGGTTGGGGTTTTTGTTGTTGTTGGGTTTTCTTTTTCCCCTGTCTCTCTCTCTCTCTCTTCCAGCCGTTGGCGGCCAGATCCTCTCAGTGGGCGACAGGGTGGCGATACAGGCGTTTGCATCTGAGCCCGGCCTCGCTGAGAGAATGCACGTCTCTGACCCCAAGTCTCACACACCTCTGGCCTCAGTGGTGGCGTGGCGTGTACTGGGTGCTACGTGAAGTTCCCCACGACCCCTCCAAGAAGACAGATTTTAAAAATAAAATCAAATACAGTTGTCGATCTCAGGGCTGATCCCTGATCCTAGGATTTTTGGAAGCAGGCGGGTGGTGGTTATACGTGTGACGATCCAAACCTCTCTCCCTTGCAAAGTTGCAGAACAATCCCTATTTGTCTCAGTCCACCCTGTGGCTTGCAGTCTTGTCTGTGAGGGAAAGCTTAATAAATTTCCGTTGTGGATAACAAATGACATTTTCTCATCTTTGCAAATAGCTCCCCGGTTTCTAGAGCTCATTAATTATCTCAGCATTATCTTCACACCTTGAAGTCACACACTCTGAGTGGCCTGTGCCTAATTCATACCTTCCTTTACCAGGACCCACACACCCCTCCAACACACAGACACACACACACACAACCTCCTGGCTCCCACTGAAGCTCTTAATCCACTTGACTGTCACCTCCAGCCCCTCAACCCTTCCTTCTGGCCTTTCTGCTCCTCCATCAGGACTCTTGGGTTTGTTCTTCCTGGCACCCCAGACTGGTTTGCTTCACAATACTACACCCAGTGCAGTGTATCAGTTGTCAGTCCAATGTCAGTCCCACCATCCTGCTTTCCCTGCTTCTGCTCACTGGTTGCAAAGCTCTCTGAAGGTTCTACCTTCAAAGCTCCTTTCCAACCCCTCAGGCTTCAATCCAGCACGTTTCTGCTCCCTGCCTCTTCTCTCCCAGAACCTGATCCAGGCATGGGACACAGTTTAACCCATCCTTCTCTGCCTTCTAAAAGTCCCTTTTGACATTCTGTTTCTTCCCCAAAGTGATTGGCCACCCTGCCCCAGAATCATTGAGACTACTTCCCCTCTGGCTATGTACATTTTCCCGGCTTCCGGCATCTACAGTGAGTCAGCCTTTCCTGCTTTGGTTCATTTCTGCTACCATGGGGAGGTGTGGACAAGCTGCAGGTAGGTGGGGTGAGAGGAAGAGACAGGGTGGGGGAGGGATACTTAGTTCCACATTGGTACCTAAATGAAATATTGCTGACACGTTCATGATTATTTTTCTGTCAAAAATGAGGCTCTCCTGCTTCATAACTTAGACTGTCATTCTTTCATCCAACAAATACTTTTCCAGTGCCTTCTATATGCCCAGTGCTGTGCTAGGTCCTGGGAATGCAAAAGTGACCCCAAAGTCTCACAACCTGCCCTCCTAGAACTCACATCTAGAGCAAAGACACAATCCACAACTAAAATAGTTACAGATGCATCAGTGCTTGGAACCACTTTTTGATAAGGAAAAACTAGAGGGTGAGAATTCTTCATGAGGTCTGGGAAGCCCTTTCCTGAGTTTGGGAAGGGACTTAAGATCAAGCTAAGTTGAATTAAGTGGTTCAGTTATAACCGGAAGGAAGGGGTGGAGATTCCTCCCTTGGGTGGCAGGATCAGAGGAGAGAATTAGATTGAGGGCACCGGGTCCAATTTCTACTATTTCCTATGTAGTGGAGATTTATTCGTGTAGGCTCTGAGCAAAGAACTACTTTAAACTTACCTGCGGTCCCCTGAATACAAGGCACTTCCTGCAAATTGACCAATTCTCAAGGCTGAGTGGGGCTTCCCAGTACTGACCCCTCAAGGAAAGGGGTTTTTTTTTCCCAATGGTGGGAGTTGGGGGGAGTTGGGGAAGTGCTGCTTTTTATACTTCACCTGCCCTGAGGGATCACCCTTTTTGGATTTGCCCAGTTTCTTGTTTGTCCAGTAGAGTCTGGGTTTAGTTATTCATTTACAATTCTGCAGGCTGCCTTGGTCTGTGTTGCTTTGCAAAAGAGATACTCCAGATGCCCTAGAAAAGACAGATACTCCTGATTTAAGAATTCACTCACAAGGCCAGGCCCACATAGGGGGCCTCCCCAAAAGACAGCTGGTAGAACCACCAGCGAGAAAGCTCGTCGTCGTCAAACCTCAGTTACAGCATTTCTGTATGAAAGAGGTGGAGGGTGGCCAACTGGTAAGAAGGGACGCAAGCAGTAGCAAGCCCAGGAGGAAGTCCTGTATCTTTCAGTTATCCACTCATCAGAGTTCTGGTCACTGTGGAGGTCCCCACTTTAGCACCCTTGATGAGGTATTTTCTCTGTCATTTTGCTGGAGAGTGCCAGTGATCTCGAGTGAACAGGCACTGGAAGTGGTGCTCGGGCATGAGAGGCTACACAGGCAGCTCTGAGAAAAGAAAGAAAGGGCTGCCTCACTCTGAACTTTAGTCATATCGCTTTGTCCATTCTGAGGCAAAGGTCTTCATCATAGCAACTTTTAGGTGAAGCCAGTCTGTGTCTAAAACCTTTAGGATTTGCTTGTTTACACCTTCACTCAACAAACGTTTATCAAGCCCCTACTATGTGCTGGGCAGTAAGCTAGACCTAGAACTAAAAAACCAAAATTTCTACCAGGCTGTTTACAAGAACTTCTTGGCTATATGACAGTTACGCCTCAATCGTCTTACCTGTAAAATGGGGATATTAAGAATAGTTACCTTTCAGCATCACAGATTAAATGAGATCAATTTTATAAAGCACTTTACAACAATGCGTGGCGGTGAGTATGAACTTAGGAACCAGCAGGCATTTTAAATACCTGTTTTACTGATGAGTAAATAAACTCTGAGCACTAGGTACCCCTGAGTTTTCTTTTGATACTTTGTTACGCATCTAATGAGGTCGAAAGGCAGTATAAATAATTATGCAGTAATTGGATAGATTAAAACAGTGTCTCTAGAAAGTAATATCCTTTTACTGTCATAAGAAGGAATCTGCTTCTTGTTATGAGCACTAGTTTATTTTTAGTAAAATAAGCATCTGCTGTTCACTATTAAGGAAAGTAGTATTTTTAAAATTTCTTATTAAGGCGGATCTTTCGTGCTATAAATATGCGTATAAGTAAGCTGTGTACTTATGGCATGTACTTACGGAGTACAGAGATGGCGCCTTTTTGAGAGACCAAGATAGAGTTACCCAAAATTGTCATGGAAGAATTCTAAGTGCCAGTGTTCCCTTGTTCCCTATACTTTCTGCTTTGTCTAGATGTTGTATCTCCAACTCCAGATTGCCATTTGGCATGTCATGCCATGCAGAGGTACACTCCACTATCAACTCTCCTCATTCAGGTCAGATGTAAGGCACCGTTTAATTGGAAATCCAGCAGGCAGCAATGGGCTATGGTGGGAAAAGAGGATTTCAAGTTGCCTACCTGGGTTCCAGTCACACTTGACTAGCTGCGTGACCTTGGATTCCTCACCAAACGTCTATTACAAGCTTCAGTTTCCTCATCTGTAAAATAAGAATAATGATAAGCATTTGTTTTGTTTTGTTTTTGAGTTGGAATCTCACTCTGTCACCCAGGCTGGAGTTCAGTGTCACACTCACGGCCACCCCAGTGTTGGCTGCTGGTCACCTGCGATCCTTCTGCCTCAGCTTTCCAAGTAGCTGGAACTACAGGTGTGTGCTACCACACCTGGCTGATTTTTTTTTTTTTTTTTTTGTAGAGACGAGGTCTTGCCAAGTTATCTGGGCTGGTCTCAAACCCCTGGGCTCTGTCAGTCCACTCGCCTCGGCCTCCCAAAGTGCTGGGATTACAGGCTGAGACACAGTATTTTATTTTTTAAAAGGTGAAATGAG